AGCCAGGACATGGAAGCAACCTAAGTGTCCATCAACAGATGAATGGATAAAGAAGATGGGACACATATATACAATGGAATATTACTCAGCCATAAAAAGAAACGAAATTGAGTTATTTGTAGTGAGTTGCATGCACCTAGAGTCTGTTATGCAGAGTGAAGTAAGTCAGAAAGAGTAAAACAAATACCGTATGCTAACACATGTATATGGAATCTAAAAAAAAAAAGCGGTTCTCATGAACCTAGGGGCAGGACAGGAATAAAGACACAGACGTAGAGAATGGACTTGAGGACATGGGGAGGGGGAAGGGTAAGCTGGGATGAAGTGAGAAAGTGGCATGGACATATATACACTACCAAATGTAAAATAGATAGCTAGTGGGAAGCAGCCGCATAGCACAGGGAGATCAGCTCCGTGCTTTGTGACCACCTAGAGGGGTGGGATAGGGAGGGTGGGAGGGAGACGCAAGAGGGAGGAGATATGGGGATATATGTATATGTATAGCTGATTCTTTATGTTATAAAGCCGAAACTAACACACCACTGTAAAGCAATTATACTCCAATAAAGATGTTAAAAATAAATAAATAAAGGCTTCAATGAAATAATTATGGGGCCACTTGCGTGCCAAGGTATCCAGCTCTGGTTTAGCTCTTCCCATGTCAATGAATAAGGCACGCTCTGAAATATTGGTAATAAAAGGCAAGAACACAGAATACAAACTCAATGGCCTGAACCAATGGATTACTCTGCGGAGACTACTATATTGAGAAACTGTAAGAAAGTACCTTTCAAAGAATAAATATTTTAACCACTCTCTAATTCTACTTCTCTTATATAAATAAAAAACATCGCATCTGCTGCTTCCCAGGTCTGGAGGAGCAGGACGACAGCTGCTTTTCCAAACACTCACTTCCAGCAGCAGCATTAACTGCCAAGCACTAGGTATCTACCAACTAGTGTCCCCACCAAGGTGGGCTGTAGAAGAGATTCCTGTGTCTGCTGGAATCTGATATTGTTTGTTGGAAAAAAATCACAATTTTAGAGTGAGGGATACTGCTTCTCCAGTAATGAGCTAAAGAAGGCAGATAGCTAAGCCCTTCTTACAGAACCCTGGGTCTCAGGTCAACAATTAAATCCACCATCTATGCTTCCATTCAAAGTGGTGAAAGCCTGGAAAGATGTCCAAGAAAGTTCAAAGAAACTGTGTCTCATGTTGGGCTCTTTTAAGATACTTCTGAATTCCCATTTGGACAATCTTAGGAAACAAGAAAAACATTAAATCTACCAGTAACACAAAACCCACATTTGTTCCTAAATTCAATCTCTTCTGCTACCAAGTTAATAACAAGAAGAAAAGTGAACTGATTAAAATTTCAGCTTCTCTCTTTTCCAATTTATTATCTGGTAAAGCAAAAGGTGGCTGATAGGCAGCAGGAAAAAATCAGAAAAGACATTCTTCACATTGAACTAGAGGCCCTCACAGAGGGTCCTTTTTTTTTGTTAAGGCCAAAGAGACAAAAAAGAGAAATAAAAGAAAAAGGACATAATTATATCTGAATTTGAGCAACCACTAGCAGAACTCTGCAACAGGTATTATGCTAGTCTAACAGCCAAAAGAACAACAAAAAGCCTCATCTGTCCATGTTTCATTAATTTAAACTGATACCCACAGCTACAAATCTAATGTACTTACAATTTAAATACACATTATGGTAAGCAGAATAATGGCTCCCCGTTGATGTCCGTATTTTAATCCCCATAATCTGTGAATATATTTCCTTTTATGGCAAAAGGGAATTTCGGTTGCAGGTGAAATTGAGGTTGCTAATCAACTTAAAATAGGAACGATTACCCTGGATTATCCAAGTGGTCCAATGTAATCACAGGGGTCCTTACAAGTGAAAGATGGAAGCAGAAGAGGGATGAGAGTGATAAATAACGTGGAAAGGACTGAACCTGCAGTTGCTGGTTTTGAAGATGGACAAAGGAGAAAAGGAATGCAGGCAGTTTCCAGAACCTGGAACAGGCAATGAAATGAATTCTCCCCAAGAGCCTCCAGAAAGGAACATAGCTCTGCTGACACCTTGATTTTAGCCCTGCGAGACCCATTTTTGGCTTCTGAATTATGGACTGTAAGATAATAAATTTGTATTATTCATGCCACTATGTTTGTGGCAATATGTTCCAGCAGTATTAGGAAAGTAATAATACACGAGATAAAAAGTATATCACTGATAAACTCTTCTGGTTACAAAAGGAAGGCATGCATAGTATTAGAAAGAGAAAAGCAGACATAGTTAATGTAGAAAATTGAAATGCCTTGTCATACCCATCCCTGATCCTCCTCTGATATCCATTCTTAACCAATGAATGGGCATGTGGAGTGGGACCCTCTGCCTCTCAGGCCTCCAGATGCCTGCCCACGGCCATAAACTACCATCCCTACTTGGCAGCAGATGTGTAACATCACAGCTGGTTTACAATTGTCCAATGCAAAAAGATGGCACTAGGGCGCCAGTGAGAAACTGTACTGGAACCTGGCTCTGATATCTTGCTGCAGGAAGTTTTTGCAGCCATATAAGTTAATTACAAAAAGGTTTCAGCATGACCCTTTGGGGGGCTTGCCACCACCTAGCAGGACCTCACCCTGAGCAATGAGAATATCACCTCCACCAACCCGAGCGCACAGCCATCATGAATAACACAGACCTGAGAGCCATGCTCGTCTCCTCCCTGAAGCCCCCCTCAGCGACTCCAGACTGAGGCCTCTGGTTTCCTTTGCTAACAGTGTATGTATTTTTGGGGCTTCATGTCCTAAACTTGTAAGTTCTACAGAAATTAAGTGTCTAAGTACTCATTCCCTTGAGCCATTCCTTTGCAGGAATTTGGTAATGTTTTCTATATACCTTATCTGTGCATAGATCAACAGCAATAATATTTGATTTTATTATTTACAGAAATGCAGATTTCTGTAATTCTGGCGAAGCGGGATGAATGAAATGCCCTCAGCAGATGGATAGCTCAGTGCCAGAACACATAAGAGTCCTTCTCTTGGAGGAATAAGTGTCCCAGGACACAAGAGCTGAGGACTGGGTGGCTTTCAGAAACAGTGCAGTACAGGAAGAGTTGAACTGATCCAGAAGCAACGTGGCCATAGCAATTTCAGAGACTACTGATTTAACTTTCCCCTTTTTTTTTGGCCTGATTGAACAAAGGTCTCTGTGCTCCTTCTTCCCTCTCTCCCAAGGATAATTGCACCTGAACTGCAAAGTCCCTCATAATGAAGTGAAGTACACTCAGGAGGCTACAGTTAACAATCATAAGGGAATTAATGGGCTTCTTTCCTCCACCTCCCCTCCTGAATCACATCTGACCTTGGCTCTAGTTGCTCAGACACTTGCAGCTCTAGCATGCAATTTACAGATCAGTGTTTTCCACAGAGGGGAGTCCCTGGGGCCTATTTCAATGAGTTTAAATAGATGGCCCAGACAAATATATAAAAGGACTGAAGATCACTTAGGCCAGGATACAGAGTAAAAAAACAATAAAAACATTTTGTAAAAGTGATTATAACCACAATGAACAGCAATAGGATAAACACGAAGATGTAAAATAGGGTATCAAAATCACAAATTGTAGGGGAGGGGAGTAAAAAATGTAGATCTTTTAGAATGTGTTTGAACTTACACGACTGAACTTACCAGCCTAAGGCAAGTCAATACAGTTACAATACTCAAAAACCATGGTAACCACAAATCAAAAACATGCAACAGATTCACAGAAACGGAAAAGAAAGGAACTGAATAGGTGGCTCAGAATGACTGGGATGGAATGGCGTTCTCTGCGACAACTGCAGGTAAGATCATTATATTGATGGAGACTGTCAGGTTCTAACCTTGGGGAAGGCTTGGGGAAGAGTGTCCTTTTCCCAGTTTTCTTTCTTTTTAACCAATATTGGCTCAAGATGCCATGGACCAGAAATATGGTGGGAAAGAAGGACCAGATATAAGTTCAGAAAAAAGAGGACTGAGAGGCAAAGACCAACAAGGACGTCAAGTGACGCTGGAATTCAGATATTATGTTATGCCCCAAGCACAAACCCATGAAGGCCCCACGGGATGACTCTGAGACCAGACACTTAGACTCTTAGAAACAGTTATGCCCCCAGTACCAGGTCAGCAGGCATGAGTGATGGGGCCAACCAAACCCAGAGTCACATACAGTAGCAAACAAGAATGATTAAAGACCTAAGCATACCTGTCCCAACCATCAGTTATTACTAGCCACGTCATGATTGCTAACAAGGCTTTGATCCAAGGATAAAGATTTCGTTTATCTTGAAAAGTGTGCACGATGCTTCTGCTTCCTCTAAGTTGGTCAGCACTCTTCTCTCCACCCAACATTCACTCACAAACAGAAGTGTGAAATTCACACTCTTCAAAAAAACCAAATGCTTTCTGTAAACCAAGACATGTTCCATATAAACTTACTCAGCTCCCTGAAAGAGGTCTTGCATTTTAATACTCGTTGTGAGAGAGCAAAGGGCAGTTATCTCAACGCAGCCATAACCCACAAAGAAACCAAGTGACCACAGCAGCCTTCCTCATCTCATTCTCTCCCTGGTAGCCACCTGCACAGGTGGGGTGGAGGCATTTTCCCCACTAGATCTGTAATAACAAGACATCCCGGACCAAGGCTTTTAAAGGAAAAAGTTCATCTTATCAATATTTCTCAAGAAAGGGTCTCTGCTGGTGGCCCCTGCTTAGTAAGCAAAAAGGAACAAAGCTGCTCCAAGCTTATCCCTAGAGAGATAAGAGCATCGCTGGCACACAGCTTCCTGTCTGTATAGGTATGCCTTTCCTTCTCCATCCTTAACGTCACCTAAAATCACAGTCGTCCTCATTCTCCTTCCACACCCAGCGAAGGGACCATGCAAAGGTGGGTGGGCCTCCACCGGGCACACAGGAAGCTTCTGTCTCTGCTTCAGATTCTCCTTACCTTGTTGAAGTCTTCAGAGGTTGCCCTCATTTCCTTCCATGTCTTGTTCAGGAGCTGGATACAGATGCAGAAAAACTCCTCGAAGGATCTGTCGTGGGTGAAGAACATCGGGTGGAAATCGTTGCAGGTCTCACTAGCTGGAGGAAAGAAGGGAGGAAGTGTGAGAAGGGAAATGAAAGGATACAGACACATGCTCCAAAGGGAGATGATGAGAGGCATATTTGGCTCAAGCCACAGTGGAAAAAAAGGCATTTTGAAAAGGCAACCAAAGGGTAGTCACTGTGAAACTTCAGTTTAAGGTCAGATGGTCAGACCTACCCTTAGGCCCATATTTTGACCCAAGGAAGTGAGCTCCTAACTCACTCCATGATATGATCCTTATGGCTTTGGTCCAGGATCTGTGGTGTTGAATATGGGCTCTGCATCTGCCTTCTTGACCTTATAAAGGTTATTCAAACTGCCCTGTCAGTCACAGCTCTTCCATCACCCTTAATTTCCTACTTCTCAATAGAATAACTGGCGGAAGATGAGTTTTCCCGAACACACAATTAATTGCAACTTTGAAAATAGCATCCTTGATTATTTCTCCAGGGGGCTCTTTTTCCTCTTATGGCATTAAGTAGGGGATATTTGAGATCATTAACCTCAGACACCATTAACCATTTGTTTTACATTCTCAGACACAGATGGCTGGAGGTCAAAGCAACCCAAGTGGCTTTGAAGGCTGCAACTGGGTTCGGTCCTGGACCAAACCCTGAAGTCAGTCAGACTGCCTTCAAGCTACCCCATTACAAAGCTTCCTTTGTAATGGTCAGACCCAGGGCTCTGAGTTCTAGGTACGCCACCTCTCTCCTCCTTCCCAGACCAGTACACCAGCCCCTTCCTTCTCAGCTCTCTGCCAAGCTGACCTTTTTATAGCCCTTTTACGTACATTCATTTGATCTTTAGAATGCGTCTTACTGTTCATGTCTTAAGGGATGAGGATACTGGAGCCCAATGAAGTAGGCTTTGTGACCCCCAAAACAAGATTCTAAAATTTTTTTCTTTAAATATAAGCTGTTACTTACAGTGAAAGAATTCTGATTTTAATTGGAATCTATTTAAAGACCAATTCATCTTCAAGATCCCAAATGATAGAATTTTAAGCTCTGGAAGCCCAGGAGAGGAGGATGGAGTGGGGCGGGAGTAGGGTTTACAGCAGAGAACTTCTGTACTTGGGGAAGACCCTGGTGCCCACCGTGTAGTTGAACATGAATTCTACTTAGAGAGGATCCTCGGGTGAAGGCCCCTGGTGAGTGAATCCTGATCAAACCTAAGAGGACATGCTCTGCTTTGGGGGACACACTTATACACAAACCTCTTCTATCTTCACACTTTATCATAGTAAATTCTGTTTTCTTCCAGAGAAGGTAAGGGCATAGGCTAGCAACAGCTTGCAGTCATGCAGAAAAGGTTTGGGTCTGAGGGCAGAAGGTTTGAATTCAAGCCCAGCCCATGACAATGAGAAGCTAGTCACTTCACCTTTCTAAGCCTTGATTTTCTAAACTAAAAAATGGAAATGAAACCTCCTTGCCTTCTCCATAGGCTATGGAGAGGCTCAAATGACACGATTCACAGGAAAGTGCTTTGAAAGGATAAAAGTTGGAGCAAGGCAGTGGTGATAACAATGAATGTCGTGCCAGCATATTGTTTCCAGGAACATAGGCTGTTTTTTGATTCCTCCAATTCTTAAGTCAAGCCTGTTACATCTCAGAAATTAGAGGCAAGAACATATAAGTTATCCCACTCCAGCTCATTACCAGTAGAGATGGCAAAAGTGACATTCTGACCTGATACACAAAGCTATTTAAGGAACTTGAAAAGTACACACAGGATTATGTGTTTGCTGCCCTGGGCAATGAGCTGTCACTTTCATAAGCACTGAAGCCAATAAAATTTACCAGTCTACAGCAGCACTTTAAACCACTATGGCCATACAAAACCTCGTTATTAATCACATTATGAGGGTATCTTTTTTGGGGCTAGTGTGATTATATGTGTACTTTATGCCCTAGTTAAAGATTTATGGGACTACTGGAGCTGAGCTAGCCAAACAAAACTGCGACCAACAAGCCCGTCTCTTGTTTGGGTGAAGAGGGAGGGAAACAACATCGTTAATAATAGGGATGGGGGGGGAGACAGAAGATTGTGTATAACTCCCCAAGGGCTCTACAGGCGTTATCTTCACAGCAACCCAGGAGGTAGGCATGATGCTTATCCTCATTGTATATATAAGACAGGTGAAACTTGGAGAAATTAAGCCTTCCATCATGAGCCTTTTTTTAGGTGGCTCCAAACAAGCATTGGAAACCCACAGGTTAGTTGACACAGCAGCAGCTTCCTGCCTTAGTTGATATCAAGAGCTCAGGGCATTTCCTTGTGATTGCTACTTTGAAAATTAATTTCTCCACCCACACTCCTAGATCTCCTTGGATTCCTCCTTCAACAGAAACCAGCATCCTGACCTGCAGTCCAGTGGGGCTCACAATAAGTGCCCAGCCAGTACCTGTTGATGGACAACACCTGGCCACGTGATAGTACCAACAATGGCCATGCCACTGTCACCAGCCACGTGCCAGGCACCATTACTGTTACTTATTACATCAAGCCCCTAGGAAGATAACATCAATTTCTTTTTATAAAATTAGAAATAGGAGAGTTAGAAAATTGTCCAAGGTCACATGGCTTTCAAGTGGCAGAGCTGGGATTCAAACTCAGGTTGACTTGGCTCCAAAGCCCATCATTGTTGCAGTGACAGGACCAGGAATCACACCCAACATTCTACACCAGAGCCAGTGTTTTCAACCTCCACATGAGGATGGCTTTGCCATCATCCTAAGATTCTTTGAGACTCATCCCTTGGGATGAGGAATGGGCAAACAGCAAATCAAAACAATTTGTTCCTTGACACGTTACAAAAGAAACAATGAAAAGACTGATACATTTTGGGATTTTACATCCTTAAAAGGACGTTCCTGTATTAGAGGCAAGGGAAAAGTAATAAGTATTAATACTTTTTTCCTCAAAAACATTCAAATTGCAGATATTCAGGACTGAGGATGATCGAGCAGGAAGGACTGGACCAGATTATCTGATTTGTTTCCCTCTTTTATTTTGCAGGTAAGAGTAGTGAGAAAGGCAAAATGGCTCGCCCAAGAGTTTATGATGGTGGAAAAGGGGCAAAGATGCTGGGAGCCAGGCTGCTGGGGCTCAAATACGGGTTCTTTTGCCTACTGCTGAGTCACCTGGGCAAGTCATTTCATCTGTCAGTGTCTCGGTGTTCTCATCTGTACACTGGGGGCAACAGTAGTATAAACTTCATCAGGTGGCTGTGGGGATTAAAAGGGAGCAGTGACTACGTGGAGAAGCTCAGTGCAAGTGTGAGCCAACAGGATTATGATGCTCGTCATCATATAGCAAGTGGACCCTGGCCCAGGCCATCCCAGGGATAAACGTGAGCTTGTATCAGCTCACAGGGATGGCCCGACTCTCATGAACAGGGTCCTTAACTCAGAGGTTTAAACAAACAGATAAAAACAGAGAGGGGGAGGTTTACTACTGCTTTTTAAGGAAAATAAAAACACTTTTTGAGGAAAAAAACAGTGTTGAATTTGTAGGCAATGATTTTATACATGAAATTTAAAGAGAAGTTTTCAATGGGACAAAAACAGCAAGGCTTTTCAAAAACCAAATTTTCTTTTTTTTTTTTTGCGGTACACGGGCCTCTCAACTGTTGTGGCCTCTCCCGTTGTGGAGCACAGGCTCCGGACGCGCAGGCTCAGCGGCCATGGCTCACGGGCCCAGCCGCTCCGCGGCATGTGGGATCTTCCCGGACCGGGGCACGAACCCGTGTCCCCTGCATCGGCAGGCGGACTCTCAACCACTGCGCCACCAGGGAAGCCCCCAAAACCAAATTTTTTTAAGCACACTATTTTTAACACAATGAGATTCTCTTTTATAAAAAAAGAATCAACTTACTCATCTTGTAAGTCTGGAATATTAAGGTATTTTCAGGGCTGAGGGTGAAATGGGTTCTTATTAATTTACTGACATCTAATTCATTTATAAATAGGCCAACTTTGAAAGCTTCTATAATCCACACACCTTTGTTTTAAAAATAAAAAATAAGAATGCTATACACTTATGTAGCATTTTGCCTTTCAAAGTAGATTTGTTCCCATTTTTCATTGGATAATGTGAAGTGAGGCAGGTATCATCACTGGAGGCTCAAAGAACAAGGGCTACTGCAGTGCAGCAAGTAAACACTGAAAGGTGCATACAAAGAAAGGGTTCTAGTGCTGCCTTGTGACCTTAGAAGGTCACCTCAGCTCCAGGGCTCCAAGTTTCTTACCTGTAAATGGGCTTCTAAGGTTCCTGCCAAGTCTCAGATTCTAAGACATTACACACACGCACATACAAACACACACACCACGTAATGTATTTTTAAGTCCCTAATATCCATCAATAATTATAGAACTTGGAGATTACACCTGCATTTAACCATATGTCCTAAAGTATTATTTCCTTGAATGACAGGATGGCTACACATTTCAGTTACGGTGTTAGGGCATCAAAGTGGCATTTGATAGGCTTAGAAAACGTTTGATGAGCTAGTATCTACTCTTCTTTTCGTAAGAAACTTGTTATTTGTTTTCAGGCCCTTTCAATCTATTAATATCACCTAATGCAGACCATTACATAAGAAAATTACATGACTAAAGATAGAATGACAAGATGACACAGGCAAATTTACATAATTTCTGCACTTTCACGGGAATTTTCTTAGACAAACGTAATTTCTGACATGCTGAAAAGCTCTGTCCCATGCTTTCCATGACCCTTGTTATACTGAGACTGTGAACCCATTTGCAAGTGAATACAGGGACACATGTTTCGGAGGCACTAGGCAAACTTTGAGTATTTTTACCATGAAATAATGAGCTATTTCAACTGCAACAGTGTTTGGAAATGGTGCACTTTGAAAGAGAGATAAGCACTGGCCTAACACAAAGGGCATTTTGTCTTAAAATTCTGAGCTACAGGAAGAAGGGGATAAATCATAAACACAGAAGCATTTCATACATGAAAACTGACAGAG